GTGTCATGAGGATTCTGGTTCCTGCAAACATCTCTGCATATTTACTCAAATAATTTCTAGAAGTGAAAAAGTAGGTCACAAAGTTTGTGCAATTGTAAGGCTCTTGATATACATTGTTCATTTGCTTAACATTCCCACCAAGTGTGCTGTTTCTCTTTTTTTATACTCTCTGCAGAAGTGGGCATTGTAAAGCTTGTTTGGTGGGGGAAGATGCCACACATATAATATCTTAATGTGTTAATTGGTATTTCTTTAATTAAAGCAGGTCAAGTAGGGAGATTGAACATTTTCCATGTTTATTTCACCATGTATTTCTTATATAATTAGTCCCTTTGTATTCTTTGCCCATGTTTCTATTAAGGCTTTACTATTTTTAAATTTCCTGTATATCTACTTTTTGTCATAAATGGGGCAGCTTTTTCAGGATATTTGATTTGCTTTTTTTAAGTGTATAGAAATTTTAGATTATGTTGTAAATTTTACATGCTTTTATTTTTCAATTGAATTGATATCTAAAATGTGTTTCCTTACCTTGATCAGATAGACAGTCTCTAGTATTTTTAGCATAGTTTTTATTAGGTTTAGCTTTTTTGTTTGTTTGTTTGTTGGGGTTTTTTGGTACCGGGGATCGAACTCGGGTTCTTGCGCTTGCGCAGCAGGTGGCGAAACCACTGAGCTAAATCCCCGACCCGTAGGTTTAGCTTTTTAAAAAGTAACTCAGTATTCCTGTAATCCATCTGAGGGGTAGTATAACATGAGATAGAGAAGCAAATTTAGTTTTTAAATTTTCCAGTATTAAATAAGAAAAATGAAAATAAAATTTGTTCAATTTTGTAGTGATAACTTTGAAATCTAAGTGAAATGAAAATTTGTACAATAGTATAGTAGTCCATTTAGTCTCCAGATAGAGATCCGAATTTATCAGTGACACTGAGAAAGTTGGAACAGTTAGCTTCAAAAATAGCTTCAGAGGGCCAGGGATTTAGCTTAGTGGTTCCACCGCCGGCTTGCAAGCTCAAGGACCTGAGTTCGATCTCCGGTACCAAACAAAACAAAACAAAAAAACAGCTTCAGAGCCAAATGTTTTAACAGTGAACCTTTTCAGATTTTAAAGACATAAGTAGTTTTACATAGATGTACACATTATTAGAAGCTGGAAAATGAAAAGCTTGTAAGATTTCCCAGTTTGTTTTTAAAATTTACCATAATGATATTAAAACCTGACGGATTTAACAGAAAAAAGCAAAATCCAGACCCATCCCACTTTTGAACAGGAAAACAAAAACTGCAAATAAAAACTGTTAAACCAAAGGAAAATTTATCCCACAAGTACAAAGATAATTTAATGCTGGGAGATTTAATTGTAATACATCACTGAAAAAAGGTAAGGTGAGTGAACAGTAGTGGCCATTGTAGCTTCTTTTACACAAGAACTGTAGTTATAAGTTGAGGATCCTAATTCCAAAAATCTGAAATGCTCCAAAATTCAGAATGTAATATTCAAAAAGTTTTAGCTTTTAGAGTTTGGATTTTTGGATTGGTGGTGTTCAACTGGTAGAATTTATGCAGATATTCCAAAATCTGAAAAACTCTGAAATTAGAGACACTTGTGGTCCCAAGCATTTTGGGTTAGAGATATTCATCCTCTATCTCCTTGACTGACAGTGGAACTCTTGTTCCATCTTTTTGTGGTTGTTGTTATTTTTAAGCAGTATATTTTTGAATTTTCATTTTAAGCCTATTTTGATATGGTTATATTCACTTACATTTTTACATATTTTAATATTTTTATTAAAATTCAGGAGATTTTAATCCATTTATATTTTTCATAACTAGTGTATTTGATCCTACATGTTTGGTATTTCTGTTTTTCTCCCTTTTTGGATTCTCTGTTGTTTTGTTTACTTTTTTTTCATCAACTTGGTAAGGTGTACATTATGTTTTAAATTTTATAGCAATTACTTTAAATTCTTTAAAAAAAACCTCCAATCTGTATTTGCAGAATAATCAAAGTCAAAACTTAGAATTGTATTTTCCCTTTCATTTGTAAGAGAGAATTTTGTATTCTATATCACTGAATTAAACTTGTCATATTTTACTCTTATTTTTATTTTTCATCTTGTCAGTCCTGTAGCTTTTTATTTTAAAGAGAAGAAACCTTGTATTCTACTAACACCAAATAATTTACTAAAATTTTGTTCATGAGTCTTATTTTTAGATGACTTCCCTCTCTTTGAATCACTCTCTTTGAATCTGGCACTCTCTTGGAATCATCAGAATGCTGTTCCCCACAAGTGTTTGCCAAAAGACAGTGGATGTAGATACAGTCCCATGTTTTTTTCATCTGGGGGGCATCATCCACTCATCTGCTGTATAAGTTCTTACATACTTCCCTGAGTTCAGTTTCCAGAGTCTTTTAATGGGATTTTCTTCTAGATTGCCTGGTTGTGTGCTATTCTATATGGGGAGCTAGTCAAAGGTCCTTAATATCTGTCTCGTAGACTGTTTTTCTTTTCTCCTCTCCCCTCCTCTGCTGTGCATTCCAATGCTGCCTGCTCTTCTTTACTTGCTAAATTTTTATTTTTTGTTCTTTTTATTTACATTTGGGATACATAATAAATACATTCAGGGTGGGGAGTTGATAAATGTACATATCACATCTTGATCCTTTTTATATTTTGCCTTCCTTCCCCTTCCTCCCATCTCCCCCCATCCACATATCCCCGTAATTATTTTCTTACTCACTTGTAAAAATAAACTTGGATACCAATCACAAACAGCTAATCACTTGTAAAAATAAACTTGGATACCAATCACAACAACAAAATAACAAAATGGTATTTTTTCCTACTTTGGTATTATCATAGGCTTCTAGTTGCAAAAATAATGTGCACATGTTTTTAACTCAGTGGTAACATCCTTTCACAACTATAGTACAATATAAAACAATTTTAAGTAAATCTTTATATCATACCAAATCCCCAAAAATTCTTCTAGTGTCCACTGCTTGTCCATCATTCAGACTAACCTTTTCAATCCTTTAATTTCCCACAGCCTTGCAGACCCCAGATTATAACTGTTAGCATTTCTATTAAAGGTCCAAAGACCCTTGCTAGGTTTTTAGTCTTTGACTAGATCAAGAAACAAAATACAACTGTAATGAGGTAAAGAAGGTGTGAGAGGGACAACAAGAAATATCACTGCACTGTCTCCTGTGTCAAAACAGCACTTGTGTTCTAAAGAAACAGTTGCATAGTTTTCTTCTACCTAGTACATGGCTTTGTTTCTGAACCAGGAGAAAATAATCCATTGTAAAAAAGGAGCTAAAATACCTTACTTGCATGTGGCTCACTGCCTCTCTTACAAGTAACTAGTATTTTTCCTTTTTGTTCCATTGACTTGCAGAAACTTTATTCATTCTTTCAACTAACACTTGAGTTGTTGACTATGTGCCAGGTACTTTACTAGTTACTGATTATATATAATGTTGAACAAAACAGATTTTCGCCGCTTCATTGATTGCAGTAATAGTTTCTGGATTCCGTCAGTACAATGCATTTTGGCGATGGTGTGATGTTTTATTTTCTTCTTTTTGAAGCATAAACATTTTCTGGAAAATTGGGAAAAGCTGTATTAATACAGTCAAGATACCAGCTTAACTGTGTTTTTCATGTGCAACTTTGAAAGTTGCTTTAGATTCAGAAAATAATTTGTGAATATAATATTCTAACCTTAATGTATTACTTCCTCATACTTGTCATTACATCTAACTTACTACTGTCCTCATCATTTCTTAATCGTTGTTAGTTCAATTAACACAATTATATCACTAGAATTATGATGACTTCAACAAATGTTTGAAAGTAGTATACTGTAAAATTTTCATTCTGAAAGAGATTTTTATCTTTTTGAAAGATAAGCAATAAAGCTGCATTATATGATGATAAATGAAGTTTTAACTATTCCTGGCATTTATTATTAAAATATAAATTTGTGGGTTTTGACTTTTTGTACTACTTTGCACAAAAGTAAATAAAACCAGGATATTTGTATGTGATTTTTGTATTTAAAGAAAACTTAGTTATTGACAAGGAGGAAACTAAGCAAAACAGGACTTGGCAATTAGAAATCACAACTCAATATAATTTCCCAGACTGTTCAGTACTAAAAAAGTTTTTATGTATATCAGCTGGGACAGAATCATATTTATAAGATTGTAAGATTGTAGGCATCTTGAGGGTAAAGACTATAAATTGCTTTGTGTAGCTGAATGTTATAGTCAAAAGAAATTTGTTTTGTTTTGTAAATTAGGTAGGTTCTTTCTGGAGAAACTTAGTATCATCTTTAGCCTGTAATAAGAATAATAATACTTGTTTTAAAGGTAGTGGTCAGGATTTTCCTGTTAAGACACCTCTCTTAAACAGTTAGTTCACATCTGAGGCAATTGTGTTAAATTTGTTGTTGTGTGTGTGTGTGCGCGGGGCGGGGGGGGGCAACTTCATTAGGTGAAGTGTAGAGAACGTTCACAGCTCTTTCACCTAGGGATTAGAAGTCTTCCCTCTCCCCTCCCATTATACCTATGAATTTGCAAAGTGATCCCATATCCTTAATCTACATGCTGCCTTTAGCTAAAAATCAAGAAGCTCAGAGGATTTGCTGTTTGTGTGGATCCTTCAGTTAATCGTCTAGTCTAACAGCATTTTACATTCTCTTTGAGGTAAGAAGTGTCCCTGATTGGTGCATTAGTGTTATTTAGTAGCAAAGGTGGAGTAGCATTGCTGAAGTTTTATGTCCATTGGAAACTGAGTGCTAAGTTTTGTCCGTTTTCTTCAGGTTTGATATTTGCAATCATGTTTTGATTGTTTTGAACTGAATAGAAAGAAAGAATAGAAAGAAACTTGAAATGTTTTTCGAGAACTCCTTTTAAATAGTCACATATATATATGACATGTAATATCTGCTTCTACACTGTTTATAATAATTAATGCATTTGTTTTTAGGGGCCACCTACAGATGCTCCTGCAGTGGACACCGCAGAACAAGTCTATATCTCTTCGCTGGCACTGTTAAAAGTAAGTGATGTATGGTGTTACTTGCTTTACTGATTTCTCTTGCTTTCACTTTTACTTTGGCATATTTGTCACCTTAATCCCCTCAGACATAAATATGTTTTTAGGTACATTTATAAAATTTTTACTGGAACAAAATTAGGTTATTAATAAAGACAATAAAAAGACCCGAGATCTAAAGGAAATGAGCTTTGTGTCCACGTCTTCCCCTTTACAGATGTTAAAGCATGGCCGTGCTGGAGTTCCAATGGAAGTTATGGGTCTGATGCTTGGAGAATTTGTTGATGATTACACCGTCAGAGTGATTGATGTGTTTGCTATGCCACAGTCAGGAACAGTGAGTACTTTTATGGATGCCTGCTGCAAGTAAATGTGTTTTTCTTTTTTCTTTTCCTATGCAGAATAACTTTCATCATTTTATGTTTTTTTTCTGATAGGAAAAATTAATCATACAATTAGTGGTATAAATTTCTAAATTGTATTGAACTAAATTATTAGTCTTTTTAATGCACTATATATTCGTATAGGGCCACAAACTGAATGATGCTGATGCTAAATCCCTTTACAAGTTCCTTAAGTTTTAATTAGCAAAATAAACTGGATTTAAAAGTTAGTTGCTGTATCTGTATAAACAGAGTTTTAGGTTTAACACTTACTTCAAAAGATTTTAGAGGTTCTTTTATTTAAATTTTTATTAGTCCTCATTATTTTGAAATATATCCTTTTTCTTAAAAAATACATCCTTTTAAAAAATGTTCTATATATGGTGATGAATGACTTTTAAGCCTTCCTATTAAAAATATTAAGTAGTAAGAAATAGAACTGCAGTGAGTCTTGGTTCTTTTTGTCCAGGTATGTTAATTTGTTTATATGAACCATGTTCCATATGTATTTTGAAGGTTACCTACTCTACCTCTTTAGAATATATTCTTTCTAGAGGTGTTTGTTTTATTTTGCCTTTTTATTTAATTCATTATAGTTTTGTAGATACAAGTACATTTAGATTTAAAGAAAATAGTCAAAAATGAGTAACCATTCTGTCTGCCTTCTAAAAATAATACATGTACTGTATGTATTCTTCTCACCTGTTTGCCTTAAAAAGAAAAAAAATATATGTATATATTCACACACATATACATGTATATGACTATTGTAGTCATTAAAGGTTTAGATTTAAATCTTTTTTTTTTTTTTTTGGTACTAGGGATCAAACTCAGAATCTTGCACTTGCCAGGCAGGCACGGTACCACTGAGCTATATCCCCAGCCTAGGTTTAAATCTTAGACTACTACTACGTATATATGTAACACGCATTATGATATATATCTTTTCATGTCAGAATATCTGCAAACAATAAATTAACTTATATTTGGTTATGTTATGTTCAGTCCTTATATAAATACTGATTATAATAAATAGTTCTTAGGCTTTAATATCATTACTTCCATCTAAATGCTTATTTGACAGTATAAAATAAAATATTTTGATCCTTATATTCTATGTAGTAGAATTAGAAAGTTGTCTTTCTGGCCCAGTAATCAGTAAACTTTTCTGTAAAGTCATATTTCTGTTGCATATTTCTCTCTCCCATTTTATTCTCCCTGCTTCCCCTCCCCCTTTGTATTCTCTCTTTTAAAATATTTTAAAATAAATAAAACATTATTATCCCAGCAGCAAATTGCATACTACTCTTCTCAAAGGGCACACTCTTTACTGGAATTCAATATACTGTTTGCTTTGGTAGGGAGGAAGTGCTTATGTTAACTGGTTTGTTTAGCTACATTAGATTTAGAATCCTGATGTTAGAAAAGCCTTAGAGGAGCTATAATGGCAGTGACTATTACCAGAGAGATAATATAGACCCTTTTTATATTCCTATGTGCTAAAATCTTATTTTAGTTGAACTAGCAAAATGAAACATTTAAGATACTTGGTCACAGACTATCTCTGGTGGGGGAATATTTTTGTGATTGCTTTTATTTGAAGCAATAAATTATTAACCTTCTTCAAAGTTGTTTAAATTATTGAAAAAATATTGTTTCATTGTAATAACTAAGTAGCTGTAGTCCTTATCAGTGATTAGTAGATGGCATTAGGAAGTATTCTTGCCTAGATAGGTCTAACCAGAAGTCATAGTTGGTTCAATTATTTGATATTTCTGACAAATACATAGGTAGCATAAACTCTTAAAGGATTTTTAATGTTCTCTTTACTCATTAGCTAACAACAGTTTAGTACATGAGAATTTTAGAAACTTTATTGGTATAAAGTTTATAATCAAATGACTTGAGTATCAAAACTTATAAAAACAAAATTATTTGGGGGCTAGGTTTTTATTTGCATTACAATATAAAATTTCTTTTTTTTCAAAGTTACAAAAATTAATTCTTCTTTCTTTCTGAGCTAGGGTGTCAGTGTAGAAGCAGTTGATCCAGTATTCCAAGCCAAAATGTTAGATATGTTGAAGCAAACAGGAAGGTAAGTATTTTAAAGGAACTTTTAAAAAATAATGGGAAATATTTTAGAAACATACTTTGAAGTTTTGAATGTTTATGAATATCATTCCTAGAAAAAATAAGCCATGCAGCTGATATAAAAGAATGTGTCAATATGAGTATAATGGACTACCTATGAGGTACCTCTTCCCCTAGAATGAAAGAAATCTGCCAATCAGCAATCTACTTCATATTAAAATTTTTGCTGTCATATAGTAAATGAGTAAGTTTGGGCTATAGCTTCCCTTTGTTTAGCATATGGAGTTACTATATTGTCGCTTATAATTGAAAGAAGTTTTGTGTTTTATATATTTGAATGTTGGAACTGAATGAGATTTTGAATATTTGTAGACATGAGTTTTAAAGACAGAGAAAGTAAAATCCAAATATTAAGGTTTTTTTCCTTCAGATTAAATCTCTTAATAGTTGTCATTCTCTTGCTCAAATTCTTCTACTGTGGAAAAAACTTCAAAATTAATGTTAGCAAAAGGCTCAGCAGCTGAGCAGAACAGTGCAAATTGGTTTTTGACTGAGTTCCTAGTTCTACTGCTGGTTTAATTGATATTTAATCTTTTCACAACAGTGGATCCTGGTGTCCATTGTTAAAAATGTTCTCTGTGCCTGTAAAATCCAACTCCCAGAGCTAAGGAGTTAAAGAGTAGATATTTACTTGAATGCTGAAAGGGTAAAAACTGGCTCTGAGAAAGTGTGGTAACAAGGTGAAAAACTGAAAGCCTTATCTACCACTGCTAATGTGCGTCTCTTAATGATAGCACTCCTTTGTCACACTTACTCATTTCTGTATTTTCTGGATAATATGGTGTACAATTTCAGAGTTTCTAATGGTGCTTTTTCACACCTGTGTGGTTTTCATCTCTTCTTAATTTATACCCTGTTAGTGTGTTGTTTCTTTTCATATTATAAATGTATTTCTTGTTCCGTTCGGAGCATCTGAATGCCCTTTTTGTTTCAGGCCTGAGATGGTTGTTGGTTGGTATCACAGTCACCCTGGCTTTGGTTGTTGGCTTTCTGGTGTGGATATCAACACTCAGCAGAGCTTTGAAGCCTTGTCGGAGAGAGCTGTGGCAGTGGTTGTGGATCCCATTCAAAGTGTAAAAGGAAAGGTAGAGTCCATTCTATCATTTTTGTCATCTACTGCCACATTATGTTTACACATACATGTAATAAAAATCTATTTTGCTTTAAATGGGATTCTTAATTACAAGTGCTGTTTACTTAAACAAATGGAAAAGTATACAGGTCAATGAATGTGTGTGATATTATTAGCAATTTAGGGATTTGTTTCTAACGTGTTATGAAGAGTTTTTATCTTTAAATTCTTTAAATTTCGTAAAAATGGGAATATTAAACCATATTATTAATATTTTATTAGTATTTTAATAATTATTGCTCTACCATCATTTCAAGGTAAATTCGTAATCGGCACAGTTTTTAAATGTCTTTTTAAAGGGCTTTGACTTATAGATACTATGCAAGGCATATTCTGGAGTTGTACATTGCATATATTTTAGACAATGAAAACTGGCCCCACAGACTTGATATCAACCATTCATATATTTGGAGAGAGGACACAGATGAGTGATTAAATATGCTAAATGATTGTGAAAAGAAATTAACTTGCAAAGCATATCGGGTTATAGTTGTTCTTTGTTGAAATTTCTTTTGTTCTTGTTTAGTTCTCTTTTTTTCATTCTTTCGTTCGTTCTTTTCTTTCTTTCTAGCCCCATATGCCATTTTCCTATTTCCTGCCTCATGACAGCAGGGAGCAGCTCTATTATCACCTTCACAGAGCTGTCTGCAAATGTGAGAGGCAATTCGATTTTGCTCAACCACAGGGAGAGTGGATTAGAAAAACTACAGAACATACAGAAATTGGCTAGGTGGTTACTGCTTTAAAATACTGCTGAGGTGTCTTGTTTGAGCATGTACTTCCATTGTGCTGTAGAATAATTGTTAAAATAAAATCACAATACATTTATGGAATCCTTTTTATGCAGGTTTTACAAATAATTTTTAAAGCGCTTAGAAATAAATATTAGCTTGATATCTATCAGACCTGGAGTTTGATAGGAGTGTAGATTACATTTGCATCTGCTTACCAGCTCAAACTAAACATGGCTGTTAAAATAAGGAGTTTTATCTGTTATGAATTTGAAGTTGAATGTCTTTCTAACATCATATTATTATGATGTATAAAAATTGAGGTCTTCTCCAAAATATCCTATTAGATGTGATTTAGCTTTTCACAGGAGAAACTATCCAAAAAAACAATAATAGAAGCTGATATACTAGACAATTCAGAATGGGTAACTTCTGATGCTTTCTATATGCTTGTATTTCAGTTTGTTTACTTCCTTTTTTTTGCTAAGACTATTGTTACTTTACTGGTAAAGAAATTAAAAATCCTTGCTTTTATTAGTTTTGTGACTTAAAGTCCATTATGATATCTCTTTAAGTGTAATTCTCTGATTTTTAGGATACCTTCTAACTTGTACATAATTCAATTATGTAGTTGTTATTTTAGAATTATATGAATATTATATAAAGCCCCTCTACCACAGTAATTGGCAAGTAATAATTAAAGCTTAATTTTAAATGGAAATTTTAGTTTCAAAACCTAGTTTTAAATATTGCATAATATTTCAGTTTGCACCATTTCTAGTTGTTAATTCATATTAAAAATTAATTTTGTATAAAACTACACTTGTATCATATGGCCCATGATAATTTTACATCTAATTTTTAAAAAATATATCTAAAATTATTTTACAAAATCATATGTATTCCTCTATACTTTTATATGCCATGAAAAAATTCTTGAAAATACTTAATTTTATATTATTGGTAATTCATATCACTTGTTATATCTAACATATAGATTTACAAGTTACCTGAAATATGGATCAAATTCTTTGGTAATCATGCATTTTTATATAGTTTCTGACTTTGGTTGTAATTTATGATTCTTTTATGTCAGAATCTCTCAGCACTCTTGAGTCAGATTAAATGCTAGTAAATCCATCAGAGTATTTTAGTTAAATCATTAAACTTAAGAATATAAATTCATAAAAATGAAGACTAGCATAGGACTCTCCTCCCTTCCCTGCATGTGATTTATCAAAACTGTCAAAATATTTAGTAAGACAATGATTAGATCAACTGTTAAACTGACAGTCTATATGTAAATGACTTAAGTTGGATCTCTGTTAATGATTTTTAAAACCTATTTCCTGTATATTTTATATATTTCCATTTTTATAAATTCCTGTGTTAACCTGTTTTTGAGTGATTAGATAACCTTAGATTCTTTACTGTAATTTCAGTTTATTCACTGTAAGTTTGACTTTCTCTTAGAGTGACTTGATTATATTTTTATTAAATAATTGCTGTGTGAATTGCTGTGTGCCAGGTATTGTAATAATAACCATTTCAACTTATTTATTCTTTACAGTAACCTTAGAGAGTGGCAGTATTGGTATATTACATTTTTTAAATGGAAAGATTTTTAAAAATTAGGGTCAAAATGATTACAAGTATACTTTGCCAAAATCAGACTGTGACAAAGCATACAAATCCAGGTCTATAAATTTTCAGGGCTCAATTTTTTTTACTGGTTCTTTAATATTATACTGTTATAATTATATAATCAGAATAATTCAGGAATGGAAAATTAATAGCAGAGGTTGTTGTGGGGCCTTTTCTGAAGTTACCGTCACTAGGTGTCGCTACTTTCAGCATAAGTTAAGGGAAAGAACTATACATTTTCTTTAAGTTCTCAATAGTTCTCTATATTACTTATAACAGGTATTATGTATAGTTGATTTTTCATATTCTATTAATTATATAAAGTAACTTGAGTGGGCATCCCTGTCAGCTTTTGACATGTATAGGAGCAATGAGACCAAAATGAACACTAAAACATACTATATTATAGAGAATCCATGTCACTCTGTATATTGTACACTATTATAAATGTTTTTAAATGATATAGATGAAAACCATTGTTAGTCTCATACATAATTTTAGTGGAATGTAAGCTCATAGAAATTACCAGAGCTCTGCTCTGAACTAATTCATGAAATGATTTTTTAAAGATTTGCTTCACTTTTGAGTTTATTATAAAATACAAAAATTCAAATATTTTAAACTTTAGTTCTCATATTGTACAGTGACAACTTCTTGCTTAATGATTATATATTCAGCCCGCAACTGAATTTGATTCAGAAGCAAATTGACTATTCTTTTTCCTGGGGTGGGGGAGAAAAGAAAAGAAAAATTTAGGCAAAACCGTTGAACTTCATATGATAGTTTAATATATATATTAAATTTCTGACATGATTCCTGTTAGAAAATATTAAAAGGTTACCTGCTAACTCCTAGCAATTATTCTTTTCTGTTTTAAGAACCTAAGAAGAAAACTAATGACTATTTAGTCTGAATACACTTTTAAACTGGCTGACTTTTCTAGAAATGTTTTTATTTAACATGATCAGAAATACTCAGCAGACTTAAAAGTGTGATATTTATTTAAACATCAATTAGCTCATTAACATGTATTTTTAAGTATACTTGGTATGCTATATGTTAATGGTTCTGGGATGCAAAAAATAATCTTTATTTCTCTGAGAGGATAATTCATGTACATTTAGTGTCACTAGTGAGCAGGATAACATTCTGCCAGTCATATACTGATATCCTATATTACATAGTAATACAATGCAGAATATACTAATATTATTTCTGTATTCAGTTTATTGCTAGAGACAGAATTCAACAGATAGTTATTTAGGATCTTGGGTCAATATACAAGGAAGTGTTACTTTTACGTCAAAATAATAAATGCAGATTAAAAAAGAAAACAGTATACACTACACAGATAGATGAAGCTGGAACTTGAGAGTTAGGCAAGCAGGACCTCACTTAGAAAAGAAGAGCTTGTACAGTGAGGGAAGAATGTTGAAATAATATTCCAGGTAGCTCTTGTTTGTTTCTTTGATTAGTCTCTTTGTTAGACACTAGAGTGTAAAATGAGTGGTTTTATTGTTACTTTTTAAACAAATACTTATTGAGTTTCAGAATTGGAGTGAGTGCCTAGACCCTGACCACCAATGGCAACTGACATCTTTGCTCCACATTCCTCAGTGTTCTTAAGGAGGGTGAGTTTGGTGAGATTCTGAGGTCAGCTGCTACATTTCAGAAGATCTGCTAGCAAGACACACAGAGCAACCTTGGCACCATAATGATGCATCTCACAGATACATTTATTCATTTCACATAGTAGACAGTACTTAACCAAGTGTACACGAGTGTTCCACGTTCCCATCTAACACAGCTTTTTTAAATTTACAGGCAGACTGATGTTTCATCTCATGTGTACACAAGTGAGTAGATTAATGACCATGAGTAGCCTCAGGACTTGAACCTTTAAAGGTTTACTTCTTTTATTAGCACTCCTGATTTTATAAAGAATGGAGAACAGGGGCCAGGGATTTAGCTCAGTGGTTCCACAGCCTGCCTTGCAAGTGCAAGGACCTGAGTTCAATCCCCGGTACAGAAAAAAAAAAAGAATTGAAGCACATCAACCCTATCGTACCCAAAGCTTGTAAACCTGGGTGTCATAGGACTTCATGGGGACCCATATGTTTTTAATTGAGCTTTGAAGCATCTCAGCAGCTCCAGTCTCCAGGAGTACACTAGACCACACCATGGACTCTGAAAGGTCACCCAATGTTATTGTTTGTTTTTTTTTTCTTTTTGTACTGGGAATCAAACTCGGAACCTTGTGCTTGCAAGGCAGGCAGCGGAACCACTGAGCTAAATCCCCGGCCCTAGTGTTATTATTTTTTAAATGGCATTTTACCAAAGATGATGCTCTGGACAATAAATAAAATGTAGGAGAAATGATTTAGGGAACAAATTTTATAAAAGCTTACGTTTTCTTTTCAGATATCTAAGCGGCTGTGTATTGGGGAGGTTACTTTTTCATGAAATTTTATATTAAAAAGTTTTAAGATGATGGAGGTTTTAAACCACTCGCCAGTTTTAAGATTTTTCTTGTTATAAAAAAGATGTAAGGGGAGGCATAGAGTAATAAAGAGCCCAG